CATTCTCTGCTATTCTACAAATATTGAATACAGTTTTTATTTCTGGCGAAATAATTCAGGGTACTGTTCTCCATAGTCTCCCTCGCATCCGTTTTGTTTCCTGATTTTTTCACAAGATGTAGAGTGGTTTTTCTCAGAGCGTGAAACATTTTCTAGTGGAAGAGTTTTACCATCGAGCTAGTTATCGCTATTAGATTAAAACTCGGGAAACGAAGGAAATAAGATCTACTAGCCCCTATTAGTGCTACTAATGATTTYAAGGTCTGAATAAAACTACACTGCTTTAATTACTATGGGGCAATCAAAAAGCAGCCTTTTAGAATGGTGAAGTCTTACTAGATATTTTACCAACTGCGTTTATTGTAAGACAGTCAGAAGCAGTTGACAATAAATAACATGCACAATATCTAAAACTCAGGACATTCTTCTCCATTTGCCCAGTATCTGACACGGTTTGTGACCTTATTACTCTCCAGTACTGTGTTCATGCGTCCCTCAAACAGTCCAAACATTCCTCCTGTGACGAAAAAAAAAAAAAAAGAGAATATGTTGGGTGGATTTTCGTAAGCACCACGTGGATAACAAAAACTGTTTCACAATGGATAGCGGGCACTCCAAAAAATTAAGTAATCCTACTAAAGGGACATGAAGAAAATCGACGAAAACGTGCGCGTATTTTGTGATTAGGYATATCTTCGCATACACGTATATGTTTTTTAATATTCGCATTTATTTGCCATAATTTTTACATTCTCCATAATACATTGCGGCTTTGGACTAGGACAATCTTCTTTTAACGGGACTACAGCTATTTCAAAAATGTTGAATACTGAATAGTGCATTCCAAGACCGAAGTGCATCGTGGGTCATAGTGACATTGTCTAAAGTAGGATTAATAATAATTATTTATTCTATTTTTAGTGTATTCCATCTGAAACAATATACTAACTACATGTAGAGAGTTAATTGCTGTATATTTACTTTTTATTTTAAATTAATGAGACCCACAATGCCCTTTGGTCTTGGAATGCACTATTCAGTATGCAGTATACCTTTTTGAAATAGCCAATTAAATTCGAGTATCAAGTATCAAGTTTCATTTTAAAGTGTGAATCTAAGTAATTTCACTGACCTGTGTGTATATAAAGAACYTTCTTGCCTTTGAATCTAGAAGGGTTATTTCTCATCTCAGCAAGCATACCACGTACTGATTTTAAGGTATAAACGGGATCTAAGGTTATACCAGTCTCGCATGCTACTTGGATAACTTGTTCTGAAGACAAAAACCACGGCAAACAAATAATAAACACAATAGTTCACTAATAGTTGTCATTTTTAAAATCTCGGAACCTATTTGTTCAGYGTTTGTATCCATGAGTAAGCGATTAGTTTGCCATATTGGACCACGCACCAGGCGCGCACAAAAGCAAGCACGCACCCATGCCAAATACTTGGGCTTTCAATGGTTACTTCTGCATTTTAAAACCTCTGGTTTGAAGGGGCTGTTACACTACTAGAAGTGTTTATTAGAACCGTTCTCTCAGTTTTGTTGCGCGGTAAAAGCATGAGCCGAACGTTGAAGTAGCGTCAGGTAACGTTACAATTGCAGAGCGCACTGTGTAGTGTAAACGCTCTGGAAAGCAACAAGGTAGCTACGCAGGGGCAGACCCAGGGGATGTCCTGCGGTGCACCAGATAGCACCCTGTCGCCGTATTTACTCTTACACATTTCGGAAGCGATGCATAACATCTCTATATACATTTTTTCATTTGGGTCACGGCTCCTAACGAATTCCTGAATCCGCCTCTGGCACGCACTTTCTCTTTTTACTCAGTTGCAGTGCAATGACGACCKAAAAATGACGYGTAATTGCAGTAAAATTTTGCGACTTGCATTGCTTGATRAACWACGTTTCAACAAAGGCGAAGGTCACAGCTTAAAATAAGGATGTTATACATGCTGCGCAAACTAYCACTCTTTTCATTGCTATGCCGAGACAGCAGTCGCGACAGGGAAATTGGGCAATGCACTTCCGTCAATCAAATAAATTYATATTCTCTGATTGGCRGCAGTGTATTGCCCTATTTTYCCTKTTGCGACTGTTGTCTCGATCAGCGTGTAGCAATGAAAAGRGTGGTAAAGTTTCTCGAATTGCAAATATTGYACGACAAATGTTATGGCGTAAAGAWAACCAAATAATATGCATRAKCAGTAAAKYTTTAWARSATTCCTATATACCMAGTTCCTCTGGTGTAGAGAGGCCATATCCTTCCCCCTTGTGACCCTCCATGATATCTATGATGTCTGACGCTTTGACATTATYCAAGCCTGCATGATCCAGATCTTCTTGGATATGACTATGGAGGTTTTCAGCATTATTTCTGATATTGACTGCATGGACTCTAAAAGAAAATTACATTGTTATTATCCCATGTTGATAGTGGATTATTTTGATTTACTTTTTTGCCCCGGCTTCATTCAAACTAAATATGCTTGTATAAAAAAAATCACTATTAAGAGATGGTATGGTAACACTTTTTTTACTGTCAAACTCGCTCAAACTAGCACTTGTGTGCTATCATATTTAGTGAGTATAAATAAAGATTTATTATTATTATTATTACTGACAAAGTTGCTCAACTCGAAGTTTAATTCCAAAAATGCCTAAGAAAGACCTTGAGTTGTGGGAAAATAGGGCGGGGTAAGGAATTGCATTATCCCAAATCTACATCAGTGTGGTAGTACCAAATACCAATAAGGTTTAAGAAGTCTGTGAGCATGATCCCCCGGATCTAGATCCATCCTAGTTTTCGTGCTTTTATTTTAGTTCAATTTCTGGAGCCTTACTTGAGTTTAGAGCCAGTCAGATAGTTTCCAATAGCAAGACCYGATGCAGTTCCACCACTCCCAACTGTCACGACTATATCAGTGTAATGCTCCAAAACTTTCTGGGAATTAAACATGACAAAAAGAACAAGTCAAACTCTTGAAAAGGGGGAAAAGGAAGACACATTATGAGTAAGAGCTATCCTTATGATCTTGATGTTGCTCTCCTTCTCCCATTTTCACCCTATTTTTTTTAAAAATACTTTTCAAATTCCGCACTGCCCTGCCCTTTCCTCTAAATATAACATACTTCCTTTGTACCTGGTCAACGAGCTCTGCAAAACACTGAAGATACGCAAACATTCCGGTGAAGGATGACCCACCAGCTGGAATCACATAGATTTTAGAACCCTTTTCTTTTCTAAAGCAAAATCAAAATGT